TGGGAACAGCTGAGGAAACTGAAAGATCTTTTATCTCAGAGTGGCCCAATTTTGAAAGCTGGCACCCTGTTATAGGACCTTCCCTTTTTTCTCATCTTCCCAATCTGTGTAAATGCAGCAGCTCTGTAATGTCCCTTCTGCCATCCTAGGATGCTGAGTTGGTTTCAGGGTCTGAGCTCAGCGGGTGAACGATGTGGCATTTGGCTGACTGGATAGTGAGCAGTGCAAGCGTCTGCCCCTTCCTCCTCCGAAAGGCAGTGGGCCAGATGGAAGCATCCTGCAGGCTGAACTTTACCTGTTGGTTGCTAGTTTGATCTTTTATCCTACAAAACCTCTGAGGCCCAAACTTCTCCTACCAGACTGTTATAAACCACTATGTGGACTGCTCCTTCCAGGGAAGGGAAAACTTTAGATTTCACAGTATAAGGAATTTTTCAGAAGTAATGACTTTTCAAAGCAATTCATTATTATTATTTCCAAGTAATTTATTGTAGCCCTGGTGAGCCAAAATATATTTTTATTTATGGATAGGCGTAGCTGTTCAGCATTAGTGAATAAAATTGAGCAGGGCCTATTTTTAGGGCTTGAGAGCAAGTAGCTTGGTACAGCATGGCTGGCATTCATATGGCTAAACTCTTTCTTCACTTCATTTCCCTTCTTGCAAAGCAAAGTGGGTACGTCCATTCTGCTTTCTGGGAAGAGTCCTCATTGATGCTGTTCCCATGCTGTACTGAGGCATTACTTTGGAGAGAGCTAATTGGGGCAGGTTGGAACAGGGCTGGAGACCATGGGGTGAGCATGCCCTGGCCTTGTTTAGTTTAATACTGTTGGTTTAGTAAAATAGACTCTGGGAAGCGGGATGATAATGCCCTGGGATGGCACATGTTTGGGTCCTGCATGCGTGAATATACATCTCTGAATATCTCTTAAAGAAAATGAGCCAGATCCTGCCAGGAAATACAAATTGTTTTAGAACTGAGCTACCTGAACAAACTGATGTCTAAAACTGCCTGTCAACGTTCATTGTATCACTGCAGGCAATGATTGGTGTTGCTTTCTCCCTTGGTTTTACCCTGGGTCCCATGATCGGCGCTTACCTCGCAATGGAGGCAGAGAAAGGAGAAGTCTTCTTCCTTCGTTCAGCATTGTTAGCACTCATGTTTGCTGTGGCAGATTTACTTTTCATCTTCTTCCTGCTTCCGGAGACACTCCCCAAAGAAAAACGGGTAAATGAGTCAGTCTTTAGATCTGTGTTTCTTGCAGGCAGAGCCAGGATTTAAGAAATGTTGAAATGCTGGAAGAAACGTGGAAGGGCCGGAGCCAATATCCCAGGAATTTAGCTTATTCCTGGGACCAGGTTTTAATACTCTATAAGCTGGTGGCAACAAAGCACAGTGGTTGTATGACAGTCCTACCTCCTAGCCCAGTGTAACATAAGAAATGTGAATAGCTAACACAACTGCTTAATTGCTATTTTTGGTGTGCTGAGTTTAAATTTCTCAAAAACTAGCGAGACCCTGGGATGGAGAAGGTGAATTTTGAACTATGATCACAATGAGTCCCTGGGGAGGAGTTTCAGCCAATCCTAAAAGTGCATGCATCAGGGAGCATGGATTTTCTTTCAATCGGCCAGAATACATTAGAAATTTTCGTAAGTATTGTCTTATCTTTGCTTGACTATTTTGAACACTAATGTAGCAAATGACTCCAATCTCCAAGCTGTGCTGTCTTCCACACGTACAAAATATCTACTTCTGCTAAAATGCAGTGACTTTTTAGATTTGAAGGAAAAACATTCACTAGCACTGTGATTTTAATATTATATGATCGGACACTGTCCGAGAGATATCTGAGGAAGTCTGTTGGAAGTCTCCTTTGTAGCGTGGGAAAGACTAAATTCAGTCCTAGGTATCTAGCTGAAACACTGTTAACCTGAGGCTTTTAGATGGGCTGGGTGTTTCCTATCGTCCCTTGTTTCTAAGCAGCGTTCAGCCATAGAAGCGTGGTTGGTCTCTGGACGGCGAAACCCATAGGACACTGAATTCAGGAAGCTTTTTTGTCTGTGGTGCACCTGCCCAGGCAAAACTCTAGACCTGCCCTGAGTCTTTCCCAGCAGCATATCTCATGTGACATTGGTTGTTTGTTTGCTTATTTTCCCAAGCACTACAGTTACTTTTACAGCTTTTTTCATTCATCATTTCTTCCTTTTTCCTATTTGGCTGTTTTTAAACAATCCAAATAAAGCAAAATCTCGTTCTTGGTTAGAGCTGCTTCACTCTGCGGTGGTGACAACCTGTTGGTGTAAGGAGGTACCGTAGAGTGAATATGTATTCTAAAAGCAATTCCATCTTTGCTGTACAGGCAGTAGAGAGATAAAAGAGAGCTTCAGGAGCTTTGAGGACTGTACAATGAACTCTTGAGAGTTCTGCTGATAAATTAGTCCTTGTTACTCTCAATATGATTGAGTTTTGATAAGACAATGAATACTCTGTCCCTGCTTTCTTGCGCTCTGTCTCTGTGTAACAGTAGGTATTGTATGGGGTGGATTTATGACTTCCAAAGTCATGCAGCCAGGTCCCAGTCATGCAAAATTGACACAGAGTGTTTAACTGCTGATGAGATAGTGGCTTTTCTGGCCTCAGAGCTTCCTCTAATTGATATCAGGGTTTAGTGCTATCAACCTGCATCTGTGTAGTGGCCCCATGTGATTTATTTGCTCTAAGGCATTTGCAATTGGCTGCTAGGCTGCTTTGCTCTTTTCTTGGGTGCTTCCTCCCAGTTTCTGAGCGGGCAGGGAGCAGTTTTCTAGATGTCCAGGCGACAGGGGAAAGGCAGATATGTTGGCTGCCTTTCTGGAGCTTGGCTGGGCTAAGCTGGAGCAAGTGTTCCTGGAGAAGGAACGGAGACGGTAGAAAGACAAAGCTGTAAAAAGAGGGCAAATGGTAATGATAACCGGTAGAAGGATGTGCCAATGGAATCGGACATCTGTTTCCCTGAAATGTGCTGTGTTCTCATGGTATCCTGTTTCTCCATCACTCATCTTTCCATAGTGGGGAAGAGAAGCATTTCACATTCCCTTATGTTGGAATTAACTTGTAGAAAGGGGAAGGTGAAGGGGGACAGGAGGAGCAGGGCTGAGGTTTCATCTAAAGAGAACAGAGTTCTTTGCTATTCTTCTTCCCCTTTTTTTTTAATAATTCCCAAAGTTTCTCAGGTAGAGAGTTACTGGAGCTCTGTACCTTTCCGCTGTTGGAGATACTGGTCTTACGTGTGAGAGGGCTGAAACAGCCCTTCGGGAGAAGGGAGGAACAGAAATGTCTCCAGAAGAATCTGTCTCCTTTAAGGGTTTTTGAGTCTCTGTCTATTTTGAGCTAAGCTAGTCATAGGCAAGGCTGCCTTGCTGGAAAGGAGGGTCTTACGACGAGATTTTTGGTGTCTTACCGAGACTGTGTGTAGGGGTATGCAGCATCATTAGCAAACTCATGGGAAAACAGGGCTTTTCTTCTGTGCACACTAAATAGTGTATGATTTGGTGGCTAAGGCAATAGACGGGAGCTTGGAAGGCCCAGGCTGCATTCTCATTTGAACCAAAGCTGTGACTTCATAACATGTTACTTAGTCTCTGAGCGTCAGAGTGAAATACAGTAAATGGTATTTGAAGTTACTGTGAGGATACGTCTGATGTTTGAGGTGCGCGAAGTGATCGTGAAGTAAAATTGAGCAACTTTGAATAATAAGTCAGAAGTATAGAGATTAAATACAGGTTGGAGACTGCAGGTTCAGAATCTGCAAAGCAGACCCCATACGGTTGGTGACATTCACGGAAACTGACCATGCAGCTTTGTTATTTGGGAATATTGAAATGTGTCAGTCAGTTTAGAAACAGAGTTAGCACTCAGCGTATGAAGTTGTTTCTCGACCACTGTTTCTGGGGCAAAGATAGCAGGAAAAGATTTTATTTATAGTTTTTTCAGCCTTGTAGCACAAAGCAGCTTGGCACCTTGTCTGACGTGGATAATAATTCAAAACAGTTGCAGACTAAATAACTTTATTACTGTTATTACTGGTAAACTTTCTTGAAGGGACTTGCTTATTGTCAGGTTCCTCACGCTGCAGTGCAAACACCGTCGTGCCAACAAGTGCAGGAACTGAGGATTGCTACAAGTCAGCTTCAGGAAATCCTTTTACAGACCTCTTTAAAAGCATGAGGAAACTTCTTGGGAGTGCCTCTTTACCCTTTGCAATACCCTTATGGAGCAGAAGAGGGAATAATTCCCCGCCATATCTGTTTGATCTGTGTGGATCAGCAGCTGTAGGACACCATACAGAAACAGCATGGCGTATTTAACTGATTACTGTTGTGGGCTAATGGGCTCCAGGGTTTTACTGTTGTATGCTCAGAGCAAGATGGGGGTTGTGCTAATATCACTGTAAAGTTAGCTTTGTTTCCACTGCTTCTGAAACCCGGTCTGTACGAGTGCTCAGGCCGTGCACTAAAGACCAAGTTCCACTGATAATTTGACTTTATAATCTCTGCCCTAAAAGGGGGGATAGCTCCCTCCCTTCTTCCTGGCCTCCCTTCCTCCCTCCCTCCCTTCCGAAATGGGATGAGAGAGAAGTTCATCAGATAAATCTGTGCAGCACTTTGAAGATGTGAAATGCTGAGGATGATTATTCAGGATTCTTAAGTCTGTTTTATCTCTTTCTGTGATTGTCATGTGAAGTGACAGCCTAAACTCTCCTACTTTAAAAGGAATTGTTTCCTTAAGACATTAGACACTGTTTATTCTTTAATATTTTCTTTAGTTTTCCACACCTAGGACTAAAAAATAAGCAAATTTAAAAAAAATAAATAAATTCAGTATAGATGAAAGAATAAGCATCTCCTGAGCACTGTTTTGCTGAGGAGCAGGGAGGCTGTCACTAGCAGCGTAACTTAAGCTGAGATGCAAGAAACAGAAGGACCAGAAGTGCTACAAAATACATTTTGCCCTTTAAAAAGCCACACACTGTGAAGCTGAGCAGAATTTCTCCAAAAACGGTATTTTCCTTTGCTTCTCCAGGAGGTGTCACTGGCTGGCTAAAAGAACCATAAGGATCAAAACAGACTGTTGCTTGATATGCCGTAGATAGCGTTCTCAGACCTGTGACACAAGCAAATCCTCAGCTTCCCATGACATTGTAGGCAGATGTGTCATTATTTACCCAATAAATATTTTTCAGACACGAGGGATGATGCGTAAAGTTAACCAAATAAAGCACCTTCAATCTATTTCTATGAAAAATGAACCTCCTCCCCTTTTTAAGACAGTTTTAATTACAGGGAAGAACCTGTTTTCTGTCCTCAGTGAAAGCTGCTAGTAATGTTCTACCTTATGGAGCCAGTTCTGTATTCAGAAGGTCTGAGATATTACTGGGGGTCATTGAGACCCCAGTATTAGTTCTGTTGTGTCATCTCAGCTAATTTGTTTAGGTATAGGAACTCTTTTGACTCTTACTGTCAATTCCATGCAGTAGTTATTACATCAGCTTTGAAGCAAACATCTTTCTTTGTCTGATTAGGTCTCCTCTGTGACGTCCGGATTTCAGGTGGCAGTTGACTTGCTCAGTCCTTTGGCTTTATTTCAGTTCTCTGCAGTCAGCCGAGGAAGGGATTCCCCTTCAGAGAAGAGTAAGTGTTAGCTGGCCTTTTGTGTTACGTGGTATGTCTTTCTTGTATATGGGGGTGGTTTCTAAGTGAAGTCTTTACTCTGACCGTTTCAGAAGTGGCGCCCTGTTCACTTTTTTTAAACCTACATTATTTACTTATGCACGGGGAACTGCAAGTTCCCTTGAGCACTGGCCCTGTTATTCCCAAAAGAAGGTTTCCGAGACTAGTGCTTTGAGGATTTCTGACATGCTACTTCCTGTCTAACACGCTTTTTCTTCAGGCAGTGGCTGCAGTATGGAGTAGGCTGCAGTGAGTGAAGTGATCTGGAAAGACAGATCAAGGCATGAGAAAGGGAGATGTGAGTTTGCCAGTCCAAGCTACAAGCTAGGAAATTTCAGATGGGAATGTTATTTCTCGCTTCAGAATTTGGAGAGGTGGGATTTGAGCTGGGTATTTCTCTGTGTGAAATTATTTAAGCCACAGAAAGTAAATCAGTGTTTGCCAGGCACTTTAGCTAATCATTTAGTTCTCCTTACTGTTGCATCAGGGGAAAGGACTAATATTTGCCGCTTAGGATAAAACCTGTTAAGCACTGCTTTGGCAGAAAACCAAGCAAAGTAATCTGTCAGAGACCATAGGCTCTGTGCAGTATAGTCCTGAAAGGGACATTCCAAGGCATTAAATGGAATACCGGTATTCATTTTAAATACATATACATGTATCCTGAGATTGGTGGGGGTGTGAGTGTGAGGCAGAGGGGCTAGATTGGATCTATGGGAGTAGGGTGTCACAGGGAGAAAGTTCAGTCTTTTTGGGCCTCCTCTTGTCGTAAGAAGGGAGCTATTGGGCAGAATCTATTTTGTGATGTGTCTTGTCTGGTTATTTAAAATGAGCATCTGAAATAAGACCTTTTTCCTACATTATATATATATTGTTTTCTTTGCTATTGTATTTTTAATGATGCTTGGAAAATAACACTTTTTTTTTTTTTTATAGACCTTCAGAATCTCAAAATCCTGGGCCTGGCTTATTTCATCTACCTCTTCCTGTTTTCCGGCCTGGAGTATACATTGAGTTTTCTTACTCACCAGAGATTCCAATTCAGCAGGTATAGTGTGCTTAGAAGACAAATGTTGCATACTTTTTTAGGATATTTTCCAAAAGATTAATTTAAGGCCTCTTCATTTATTTTCAAGAACAGCTTTAAGAGGAGAGTAATACTCAGTTAAAAAACACTGAGAAAGCATCTACTGTATTCAATTTTAGATGGGCTTTTAAGGAAGAATTTAAGAAAAAATATGCACACTTTTTATCACAGAAGGAAATACTCGTTGAACATACAGCTTCTAGTACCTAGAGAAAATCAGTACACAAAAATTAAGGCACCTGAAATGAAATATGCATACCTGGGCTAATAGGTACTGATTATCATAATAGTACTGATTATCATAAAGCCTTTTCTCTTCTTCCCTAAGAAGAGTACAGCAGTATCAGAACAAATCTTGAAGCTCAAAAAAGGCAAGGGATGGTGTACAGTCATTACATCATACAGTTTCATTTCCTTTAACCAAACACTAGAGAAGTAGAACAGAATTCACTGAAAACAGCTGAGCTTGAGGTGTTTTTCCTGCCAGCTCATAGGCAGATTTCCAGCTGGGAACATGATCTTGCAGCTTGATTCCTTATGTGTATCCTTTCCTTTGAGTAATTTTCAGGATTTTGTCTCATCTCTCCCTGTCTTTCATTATAGGGAGTTAAGCCATTATAGCGGCTTAACTAATTTGTGTGCATCAGGGAAACGTCTTCCATTGTATTAAGCCTGCCTCTCTACAGTTCTTCCAGGATAGCCATGCAGTGAGACATACAGCTTTATGCCACAGTATAGGCTTTGTGACAAACAGACTAGTTATGGAGGTGAGAAGTTTTAGTTGAGAATATCCACGTAGTTTGGTAGTTAATAAGCGAAGGGGAGACTTGAAGAAATATTGAAGGATGCAGGGAGTGACAGTGCTGGCTTCCCAGCACACACATCATCACCGGCCTGCCAGGGCCACAGCCCAAGCTGTGCCTTGGTGACCTTGATCAGGCTCTGCATGAGTGGTGGCAATTTTTTTTTTTTACATTCTCTTTTTTTTTTGGTACTGCAAAACACTTGTTCCTTGGAAGCCAACAACTGCTGTGCTTACGGCACCAACTTGCCACAGCACAGGATAGCGTGTTGGTTCTTTGTGGGCTGCCCTAGAAACAGCTAAATACACAGTAGCAGTCTACAGATGAAGAATTCTTTGCAGTATTTGCTAGCACCCCTCCTGTTATCGCAAAGAAAGATACCACAGGTTTATCTTCTGGCTGTTTGCCTGCCACAGAAACTAATGTGAGCATATATTAAGAATTTTGTACTGCTTGTGTGAATATCTGAAAGCATTTTATCTTTGTTCAGGAAACAATCTAAACTGGACCTGTATATCCCAGGGTGGAATGCTTTGTGCATGACTCTCTGTAATTTGTGCTTTTGCCTCCCTTCTAGTATGCAGCAGGGCAAGATGTTTTTCTTTATTGGAATAACAATGGCTGTGATCCAGGGAGGCTATGCTCGCCGAATCAAGCCAGGAAATGAAATCAGAGCTGTAAAAAGGGTAAAAAAATAAAAATAAAATAAAATAAAAAATTACATTCTTCCTTTCCTTCTCCCACAAATCTGGCATGTTAATTTTCAGTCCAGTGAGCAATGAAAGGTGCTTGGAGGCTACGGCTGTACTTGTCAAATCAAAGTACGCTTCTATCGCATTTCGTTCCTCTAGCTAAATGGCTTCTCTAGACCCTGGTTGATGAACAACATGTCACTTAGTAATGTAACCAAACTTCTGAACATGAGAGCCGTTTCCCCTCTATCAGCTAAGATATTATCGAAACTCAAAGTTCTTCCTAAGATATCTATGCTGCAGGGAATAAGAACTAAGTGTCTGTGCAAGTAAAGGGCATAAAATGCTATGAAGATTCTGTTTTTGTTTTAATGACTTCTCTTGCAATACAGACATTGAAACTATTAAAACTGCTACAGAGCCTATCCCTTTCTGGAAAATTATTTTCAGGGACATCATCAGTGTGGCAATGTGTGCTTGACAGGCTTTCCCTAGACCGTGTGTCGGTGGTGGGCAGGAGGAAACACAATTCTTTCTCTAATCTTTGTGATCTCCAGTGGTACATGAAACAATAGCATGTACCAACATTCAGACAGAGGTTTCACCGACAAAAGTGTGCGTTTCTTTCTCTTGCTTGCTTCTTCATAGAGATGATGATACTGCACAGAGATGACAGGGAACAGTTCCCTGCAGCTCATAAAAGCTCTGGGACGAGGAGATATGTTTGTCATATACGTTTGTATGTAGAACTAAAGAAAGTAGGTTTCCAGTGTTTCTGAACTTTTGTTGGCTGCTCAGTGATATAGGGATGCTTGGACTGTTAAAGCCATTATGAATTTATTGCACGTAATTTTCAGGCCAGTATGATTTCAACACATGACAGAGTAGAAAGATTAACAAGCTCCACTGCATCTCGGTGATTTGACTCAGCTTTTCTTAATAGTTACTTCTGCTGGTGAAACCATATCCACCCTGCTCCCTGGCAGGCGAAAGTTAATGATTTCCCCTGCTGTGTCATGTACTGAGCATTATTGTATGAATGAAAACAGATACGTGACTCCACTGCTGTGTTGGTGCTGCTCTATCCTCTGCATTGACTTCCTCCGCTTTCTCTGCCTGCTTGCTATGGTTGCTGTCACTACACCACAGTTTATGCAAACTGTGGCTCCCCCCACTAGCTTTTATACTCCTTCCTCTTCCATGCGCAGAGAAGTGTAGCTGCCTCAAAACCCTCATTTAGTTTGGCTGGTCTGGGCCAATCGCTCCTCATAAACACCCGCGTGCACAGTGCAGAAACCTGCTGGCCCTGGGGCGCTCTTTATGTGAATGTGTGTGGCTTGAGTGGCTTTTGTGGGAGTTTGTCCTTTTGTTGTAGCTACTCTGGCAGCTTATTTATGAATTGGGATCATATTGTAAGCGTGGCCTCCCTTTAGCACAGTGATTACAGTAGTTCATTTGTAACTGAGTTTTCAAAGTGAGACCATTGCAGGGAGTGGAATTAAAAACTCTTTGTGAAATGCAGTGCTCTGTCTTTCCTGTGAAAGCTGTATGCGCGAGGGAGAGATCACAGGGCAACTGGAGTCCAGGCCCTCAGAAGAGAGAAAGAATGTTGTTTTTTCTTTTTGCTTTGGGATTTCAAATGACATTTCCCCCCCCCCCCCCCCCCGCCCCCATTTTTTCTTCTGCCTCCAGAACTACAGAAAAATGAAAAGCTCAAGAGGGGTTGGCGTAGCCCTTAGAATCCATCAACACTGGGGAGAAAAAGCAGAGGAGGTAGTCCTGCTGCACATAAGCTTTTTGATCTCTTTCACTAGCTGAGGAGATAGATAGAGAAATCTACCTTTAGGACTTTAACGCCAGTTTGACACAGAACAAGAAAGAACAAAAACAGTAGATCGTGTAGGAGAGAGAAATCTGCAAAAAGCATATTTTTTCCTCCGATTAAATTAGTTGTGGGATAATTACAGCCTATGTTATAGGTGACTGCAATCATGTGATAACTAGCAAGAGAACAGAAGAGTAGACTGTGCTGATGTGTAGCCATCCAGATGCATTTGAAATGCCAGGAAAAAAGGGCTTTCTGCCTCCAACTTGAATGCAGTTCCTTCAATAGAAGAGAACTGCCAGGACACCCAGAGTTAGGCTTTTACAAGTCTGACTTAGATATAATAGTGTGACTCATTCATTTTGCAGGCCATAATGTTGCTGATTCCAGCTTTCTTGTTAATTGGATGGGCTGCAAACGTGACCATGCTGAGTGTTGGACTGTTGCTGTACTCTTTTGGTGAGCTATTCAAAGTGCACTGAAATATAAGCAAAAATGTGTTTTCTTCATAGATTTAATCACCCCATTTAAAAGGATCTACTTTAATTTCAAGCTGTAAGTAACAGAAGTTGACTTTTCTGTTTATAAAACCCGAGAGAAACAATATCTGGTTTTTTGTTTTGTTTTGTTTTGTTTTTTTCTGATGCTGTTTCTATCCCAGGAAGCTGCTATGGTGATATTTGGAAGCCTCACCAGTGTTCCTGATGGAGTTCTTGAGCTCTTTTCCACCCTCCCCCCACCTCCCTCCACCCCCCCATCAGGCAGAGAAGTAAAATATTAATTAAATAGCCCAGCTTGGAAAAAGAAATGGAAAAAGCATTTCTTTACACCGATATAGTGCCTGCATTATTTCATAAACAGGCTGAAGAGAGCTGCATGATCTGAAGGTGAAGGCTGGAGTGCATGTTCAGGCTGGGTGGGAGCGAGGGTACGTGAGTGTTGTCCTGTATCCAATGGCACAGCGCTCTGCTGACGCTCTTCTGCCCCTTTGCTTCGCAAACTCCCACCTTGAGAAGAGGTTAAAACGCCACCTATTCTTTTCTGAAGAGTGTAGGTGGTTTTCAGACTTGCCTAAATGTTTACATAAATAATCTGTCAATTTAAACCCTTATTCAGGGAAGCAATTACGATTGAGGTTGGATCCATCTATGTTGGGGGGAGTACTGAAGTCCCTATCTATCTGAAGAGTTTTCAGATATTCCCAATACCTCTAACTATTGTTAAGAAGCTTGAAAAGAGGCTGATTACCAAAGCAGGAGACTTTGCTTTTGGGTAGTAAGCTTTGAATTAATAGTAAATTGTAAAATAACTACAAAATGCATCTATTTAGTAGCTTGCTTGTCTAGGGACAGACGTGTGTTTGACAAGTTTCAGCATCTAGATCTTATCTATGGATTAGCTTCCTTCTGAAAGCCCGCTCGAGTGGTGAGCCTGGGGGACGCATTTTGTCTACCTCTGTGCTTCGAAGTTTGCAGCCTTGTCTTCCTAGGCTCTGTATCTGAGCAGAAGCCACTAGCCCTTCCCTAGGAGCCTCTTTCCTCCCTCTCGCCCCCTGCCCCAGGTTTAGAGTGCCTGCAGTTAAGGCAACATGTCTATCGTTCCTGCTCTCCAGTTGTCCTTTCCTTCCCAGAAGAGATTCTGCTTTGTATGCTTAAAGCACTTCCTTCTTGGCAGAAAAGGTCCCTGTTACAGTAAGGGGACGGTTACTGTTGACAGCTCTTGGCTTTCTGTATTCAAAAATTTTGAAACCTCTTCTTGTTGGACTTAACGGTCTCATTTCCCAAGAGGGAATGTAGCTGCCTCCCTCGCCCGCGAGTTCAGTAAAGCCGTATGCGGCAGGGACGCTGCGGTCCTGTGTGAAGCCATTGCGTGTTTGAAAGATCTCCTTCCCCTGCTTCACTTGACGAGACCACAGCGATCTGGAAAACTACCAGTTAGTGGATCGGACAGATTGTAACTCTGACCTACCCGCCCCTTTCCCATGGGCTCACAGAACGAGAGAGTCTAATGTGAAACATCTGCTCAGAGCATTCATGGCTCTGTGCTTTCTGTGCAGGTTGGCTTTGAGGGGGTGTTTTTATTATTGAACTGGATTAAACCTTATGATTCATTGTTGGTACAAAGCCCCAGGGCTCAGCATATTTCTCTGCAGTAGAAACTAGTTTGGGCTGCGTGTTTTTCGCCAGTGCTCTCGTAACTGTTTTGAGCTTTCTGCTGTTCATTGACAGTCTCTTTTGTGGATTTTTCCAGCTGCTGCCATTGTTATCCCGTGTTTGTCAGCAGTGGTGTCAGGCTATGGTGAGTGTCTCATTTCTTGTTTTGAGGAGCAGCGCTTGGTTGCATATTATTGACTTGGCTCAAATACAGAATTGAACTCCAAGAAATTTAGTAATGCATCAACAGGAACTTCTGTGACTTAGGTGCACCTCAGAGCTGAAACGTGTAGCGGTGGCTCTGGCTGCTGTTTGCCTAAAAGGCCTATCAATCAGCCTCTCCAAATGCCTTAACTAGGAAAGCAGAAACTGTTAAAGGACAACGAACAACTACTCCACTTACTTCTTATATAAACACAATGCAAGCATACATAACCCTGAAGTGATAAGCATGGTCTGAAGGAGTAAGATTAAAAGCCTAGAAAAGAGCCCTTCTAGTAACTTGTACCGTGTCCTTTTTTTCAGTATAGCCGGTGATTAGTGAGGCTAGATACCCTCGGAATGTGTCATGCTGTGCTATGGGGGGGACAGATCATCGGGCGGGAATGGAAGCTGTCTGTGTCATGCTGGAGGTGCTACAGACCTAAGTCCTACAGCTCATGTACTTGTATCACAGAAGAGAAGTGAGATGGGACTCGGGGAGGGGGGGTGGGGGGTGGGAAGGCAATATCCCAACCCTGGGAAATCCAGAAGCATCCCTCAAGGAAGAATAGGGAAAAGCAAAATTAATAGTACCTGTTTCTGAAAACTGGCAGCACTTCATAACAGAAAACAGATCAGTTTGACAGATGATCTATTGATAGTGAACATCAGTATCACGCTTCAATTTTCTGCTGTGTGATCTGGCTTGTTCCAGTGTGATGAGGAAGCTTGAAGCAACTCTATTTTTGGTTGTGATTTAAAAGATTGTGACCAGTGGGCAAGGAATTAATATCCGGAGCAAAAAGGTCACCACCAACACTGGGCAGGGAGTGGCCTGATTTCTGTAAAGGAGACAGTAGCCGTCTCTGCCAGCACTAAAATCATTTCTTCCTTATCCCTTAGAAAAGACGTGGCTTTGTGGCCCTGGTTGTTAAGTAAAGTTGTAAAGCGCCTTGCCATCTGTGGACAACACAGGTCTCTAGCGTCATTCCATTATCAAGGTTACCAGCTTGCTGAAGGGAAAAAACAAGGCTCTTTCTTTCTTTATTACGACCAAAGTGATTTTTACTTGCTTTCTTATATAACTTGCTTTTGCATTTTAACTATGGGGGGGAGGGGGTTATTTATTTGTATTTATTTTAACTATTAACTATGCTTTTGTATTTCTTGTGCACTTGTACCTTCTCAGCTAATCTCTGTAAAATTGCTTTAAAAATCCAGAGAGGGAAACATAGCTCTTCTGTAGAGCGCAAAGCTGTTTTTTTGTTGTTGCTGTTTTGTTTTTGTGGTGCGCTGCAACAGGTTGCTGGTAGACAAGCGCTCTTGACAAGACCTGGTGTTTTCTCAGTGAAGCAAAAAAACACGTTTTTCTTGGCGGAAGGGAAAAAAGTGTAAAACAACTTGAGCAGTGACTGTTAAATAGGAAGGAGGGGGAGATGCATGCAGGAAATAAGGCCAAAAGAACACTAAGGCTCCAACAGCTATCGCAATCCCCTCCTCTTCACGCCCTCTCTGTTCCCCAAACCAACCAAACCCCCAGACTGAGTAATGCCTCTCTGCACAGGTGCTGCCAGCCAGAAAGGAAGAGTCATGGGAATTCTGAGGAGCCTGGGTGCCCTTGCCAGGGCCATGGGACCCATCCTGTCAGCAACAGGTGAGTGTGCCCTTGTGGGGCGTCCACAGCCTGGGGCAGCTCCGAGGAAACCGAGACGGGGAAACACATGCTGTGTTTCAGAGCCATAAATCCATCTTTGCGGAGGTGGGCACCCTTGAGAGCTGCATGGAATGGGCCAGGGCAGCCTGAGGGTCTTGTAAGCTTCAACAAAAGACTCACTGATGAATTAAAGAAAAAAGTACAAGAAGTACAGAAAGTACACAGAAGGTTTTGTCCAACTCTGTCAGGGTCCAGCAGGAGGATCAAACTGACCAAGCCCAGAATGTAGCTGTGCAGGCAGAGGAGCCTGGCGGGAGACTGCTCCATGCCTGTCCTGGGCTGGCCCCAGTGCACAGAGGGAGGAGTCGGAGGGTGACCAAGAGCTAGTTCCTTTGCTGAGTTTGTTTTCGCCCGTTTCAGCAAGTCACGAGCCTGCTGTGAGGGACCACCTCGGCACCGGGGCTGGCTCTCAGCAAGCAAGAGTTGGTGAAACCAGGTCTCCTTTATACCGGTGGCAAACTAGTAACGTTTCCCTGCCCCGCCCCCCTGATCTCAGCTGCACCCTGAGATGATACAAATTAAGCAAGGACAGCCCATAATGTGTGTTTATTTAAATGAGCGATACATTAAAAAGAACACCTCTTCTGCATTAAAGTGCCCATATCCCATAAATGAGGTTAAAAAACGTCCGTGCAGTACTACTTATGCTGCTGGAGCTCAGGGCAGTTAGTCTGCAGTGCAGAGCCTTGCTTAAAGCCAGGTCTAGACTCTGTGGCTAAGCGCAGGTACAGCCTTGGACAGGTCCAGCCACTTCAATAAGAAACCAGCTGCTCAAGTATCATAACCTAAAGGGACAGAATAAGAGGGGAAGCAGCTGCACAGCTGTTCAGAGCTTTAGCACTGTCCTAATGTACAGCTTTGAGCAAAGCCAGACCCTAGTTCCTGACTGGGTTCAGATGCTGACCAGCATCAATAAACAAACGAACGCCCTGTACCTCAGTGAGCGCACCTGGAAACAGCAGACTTCTTTTTGAAAGGAAAAAAAATGGGTGTCAAGGCAAAATATATATCTTTCTTACTGTAAAAACCACAATGGCAAAACTACCCAGGTGTGCAGCACCTGTACTACCCTTTCCTACCCACCTAGGCATTAGATTCCTGTGTTCCAGATCCCAACAATGCGAGCCCTTCAAGAGACGCAGACAGCTTCCACCAGGAGCAGCCATGCAGGGAAGTCGTAGGAACAAAGAATTTAATAGTTGCCTAGTGGTTAAAGCTGAATGCGTGAAACAAGCAGGTGAATAGGAACCTTCCTCCCCTTGCTATACTGGCAAGAATGGAAAAAAAAAAAATCTTTTTTTAAATAACCATTTTTAGCATGCTGTTTCCTTGGAAGCGAATTGTTACCAGCAAGGCTATTAACCACTGCCTGTGTATGACTTGTATGCAAGCAAGCAGTTACGGGTGAAGATTCAGTAGTTCCAGCTGTACTGACACCACTATTCTTTGTACCAGTAAGCTGGCAAAAGTGAGCGCTTTGAATGTCTGTCTAAATGCATGCAAGGACTAAAATATTATTAAATAACTAAAAATCTCATTTCCTTTTCAGTTTATTGGCTGGCAGGGGCTGAGATCTGCTTCACCATCTGTGGCACTTTCTTCCTGATCCCCTTCATTTTACTTGGTTCTGTAAAACAGCAGACAAAGGAGGAGTAAAGGGAATTACAGAACAGTTCCTGGTTTCCAAGGACCTCCAAAAGACTTGATGCTTGTCCCTCTACTCTGCTAACTGAGTTGGAATGAGGCTTTTGATCTTCTGGAAGGCCATATTCAATGGCCACTTGCACCATCAACATGTTCAGCTTGCTTTCTTACAGCTTGCCACAAGCAGTTCAGTTTACCACAGGCTCCCAATTGGCTTGGCTAGTTTTGGAAATAGAAAAAAATATATGCTGCAGTTGTTGAGTAAAGCATTAAGATCGGCACCCGAGGCTAGGCAAGCTGCACCTTCCAGTACTGCAAGACTGTGCTGCACGACATACCCCAGTTACAATTTCCTGTCAGCTGCAGGGGCTTCAGCTGCTGCTTAAAAGTAAACTGCAGCATACACAGTGCTTGTCTTTCCTTGTCTCCGTCCCATTAGCAAGAGCCAGACCAAAAGCAAAAGCACTGCCCAACGCCTCCACGCAGAGGGCTCGTCTGTCTGTTTTAAATAGCAGCGAACAGATACACCAAACCTCTGAACAGTGAGGGGAAGTTTCTGTGCAACAGTCATGAGATTTGCACAAACTCTTAAGTGGAGCAGGTAAAAGCTTTACTCAACTGCCTTAAACCATGACAATCAAAAACAAAAGAAACATACTCCAGGCTTCCTGAGCCTGACTGATATTCTGTCACAGGTGGACTGTTTTTAGTATACAAATAAACTTTGAGCTGTTTTACGTTCCTAACACTGTATAGTATTTTTTGATGATCAAGCACTTTTTTTTTTTTTTTAATGTTACAAATAAACTGTTGCATTGTATAGTGGCCTGTCAGTTAACTGCAGGTAAGATAATACATCACTCTAAAAAGATGATCTCTGTTTGGATAACTCAACGTTAGGTGCTGAAAGTGCCCTAGAAGGAGCCAACCAACAACTGTAATGGTGCTGAAATGGATTTCAGAAGGTTGCTCAGCAAAGGTAGCAAGCTGGGATGGGGTAAAGACCTCAGTGGGTGGTGACTGCTCACTCCTTCAGTTAAAGCTCAACTGCTTCTGCTTTTTAATGCCTGGCTTCTGCCTATTGCTCAGGTGGGATGCCCTAGGAAGAAAACCCAACAATGACCAATTTATTTTACTTATTTAGCAAGACTACATGGAATCAATCACTAATCAATCACTATATTATCATTAAAAAAATAGATCTAATTCAAAGTCCAGGGCTACAGCTGTAGAATAAAACTGTACATGAGTTTTGAAAGTAGGGGGAAAAAAAAGACCTTTTTTAAAGAGTTTTATTTGTGAGTAGAACTTAATGATACAAGAAAGAAAGAAAAATACAGGACTTGATTTTGCCCCAAAGTGTGTAACCATACCATACATAACTACATTTTTAATTCTTTGTATTACAATATGAAAGAACAAACTACAAAATTAGAAATTAAAAATCATTGCATATGTGGTCAAGATAAATGGGAGGACTCCATTAATGAACTGAAACATATAGCAATTAGTAATTTAATTACGACCTTGGCAATAAAACACAATTTAGCAAAATAAGTATTGTATGCTTCCTAGTGTACAGAGGACATACAAGGTTAAAGTACAAGCTCAAAGCCATTAGTGCCATGCAGTCCTTACTAAACATTACTGTTTAGGGGTCTCTCTTACACAGTGGTTTAACTGCTGCTTCTAGTTCCACCCTACCTCTACCCATTCCAAAATAGGTGAAGTTCTCATGGTATTAATTACTACCTCTAAACCTCTCTTCTCATTTGAAGCCTTACAGCTCTAAATTGTCATTTCAGCTCTTTCCCCTTCCCTGTCTGAAACCTGTCCAAGGTATCAATACGCCTGAGGCCTAATGTAGGCCTTCCAAATCTATCCGACTGCTG